TCCCCCAGAGCCTGTGCAGGCTGCCCCTGTGTCCGGCTGCCCACAGCTGGGCCGGCTGCCTGGGGCACACATGGCCTGTCCAGGGCCAGGATGTGAGTGGGCCTGGGGTGCCCTTCTCAGGGCCAGCGTGGCTCCACCGAAGGGCCTGCCCGCAGCCCCTCCCGCCCCGGCAGCAGGCCGGGCACCTTACCTGCCAGCGTCAGAGGCTACTCTCGTAGCTGGTGGCCACCTTCTGGCCCTTAAGCCCAGCACCCCAGCTTAGTCCTGGCGCTGGCGGGGGGGGTTCTACAGTGGACAAGAGGCACCTTTCAGTGTGGTGCGGCTGGGCCCTAGGTCCCTGGCGTGCAGAGCTGGGCGGGCCCATGGGGCCAGGAAGGGGCCCTGTTCCCTGACGGGCACAGCCACGGCGTGGAGGGGGCATCCGTCAGAGGCTGCGTGTGGGTCCGCGCCTCCCGGCCACGCAGCACCCATGACCCTGCCCCACTGGCCGGCAGCCAGGGCCCCTGCCGAGCCGCCTCACCTGACAGGTGCGGGGCCACCGGAGGGTCGTGTGTGCTCAGCAGCTGCGCCTGGATGGTCTCCACCACCCTCTTGAAGCGGCGGCTGGGGCCTGCGAGAGACAGAGGGTCACACCCTGGGAAGGCCAGTGCACGCCCCCGCCCCCTGCGGCCGTCGGCTCACCTGAGAGCAGTGTGAAGGTGACAGAGTAGATGCCGTTCTCCTTCTGTGCCTCCCCGCCCTCCGTGTAGGTGATGTCCACCTGGAACTTGACGGGTTTCTGGAACACGGCCGGGCCCCCTGTTGCCTTGTACTCAGCCCGGAAGCTGGTCTGGGAGATGACGCTGTGGCTGAGGCTGGGAATCTGCAGGGAGGAGCCGTGTGAGCGCACGGGCGGTGGCGGGGGGACTGCCCTGGTGTGAGGGTCGAGCACCCAGGCCAGGCGCCCAGCCTCCGCCTCGCCTCGCCTCCAGATCTGTGCCAGGCGCGGTGCAGGGGAGACGCCCAGAGCCAGGAGGCGCCTTCCAGCCCCCACCCTCTGAAGGACGCGGCTGGGCTCAGCCAGGGGCTTCTCACACCAGAGCAGAACAGGAGGAAACACGGGGCCTACTGACGGCACCTCCAGAGGGAAGCCGGCCCAGCAGCCCAAGGCTGAGGCTGGAGCTGAGGGACTCGGAGAGCTGTCTCGTCTCCCCTCCCGCAAGTGCTGGGACCGTGCCCGCCTTCCCGGGACCCAAGGCACTGAGGGCTGGCCATGAGGCCACACAGCAGCAAGGAGCCACCCTGCCCAGGGCTGGTGCTGGGGCTGCTGGGCACTGGAGGCCGGGGCACCATGGAGTCTGGGTTGGCCTTGGGCCAGGAGCAGCATGAGGGGTGTGGGAAGAGGGGAGGAGCCAGCCCAGGCCCAGGTCAGGGTGGAAGCCCCAGAAGCTGTCAGGCTGCCGGTAGGGAGGCCGAGGGACCCGAGAGGCCCATGGGTGGCGAGGCTTGGCTGGGCTCCTGGGCCCCTGGAGCCACTGGTGAGGGCCTTGCACTCAAGGACCCCCAGCTGCAGTCCGAGGGGTAGAGGCCTGGGGTCACGGGGCAGAGTGTACAGCGGCTGTCTAGGGAGCCCTACTGAGATATCTGCCCAGTTGCCAGGAGCCTGCTACCCACAGGGTGCATCCCAGGCCAGGGGGGGCTGGGGAGGGGGCTCCTCGGCTGAGGGCTGGCCCATGGCAGGTCAGGGCCTGGGCTGGGCTGGAGAGATGGGCGGGGACGGGCAGGGACAGGGCCTCCTACCGGAAGTGCCTCCGCTCTCTTGGTGACCGGGAGCCTTCCTGTACCCGCGAGCCAGCACAGCCCCCAAGCACAGCCGCCTCGTGGAGAGGACCAGGGACCCTGGGGGTGGCCACCCGGGGGCCTCAGGGCGCCAGCCTTTACCCCCAGGCTGCACAGCGGTCACCCTGGGTCTCTGCCTGGCCCGTCCCACCTCGCTTCCCGCCTGCACCAAGGCCGTCGGGGTGAGTGAGTGAGACGCCACCTTCCCTCCGAAGCCAGACGCCTAGGCGGGCCGGAGAGCACGCAGGAGGGTGTCGGGAGACTGCCCTGCTCTTTGCTTCAGTGCCCCAGGGCACGGCGGCGGGCCCGGGGGTGGGGGCTGGGGCCTCACCGACAGGAAGGCGTGCACGATGTCCGCCTTGATGGAGCTCAGGGGCTTGTCCTTGATGACCACGAAGATCTGCTCCTCCTTCTCTAGGTTGATGAAGTTCCCAAACCAGGACTTCTTGGCCAGCCTGGGCGGTGGGGGACGGAGGGTCAGGGGCAGCGTGTGCCGCTATCGACAGCCCGCCTGACCCGGGCTGGCCACGGCGCCCTCAAGTCCTGCAAAATGGGGCCAGCCCTCTCCGCGCTGCTCAGCGGGACCTGAGGCCCGAAGTCCAACCCAGAAACAAACTCAAACGCCCTGACGCAACCTGCCCAAGTGCCCTGGCCCTGGCCCTAACCCAAACGACCAGATGTTAATTGTCCTCAAAATGTCCTAAGCCCAACGCCCCAATGCGAACTCCAACACTGACCAAACGCCCCGACTGCAACCCCAAACCCCCACCCTAACCCAGGCGCCCTGACCCAAGATGCCCTAAGCCAAACACACATGCCCGAACCCTGACCCCAACCCCAACTCAGGCTCAAAACACCATAACTCTCACCCTCAGACCCTAACCCAAACGCCCTGACCCTAACCCAGACACAAGTGTCCTAACTCTGACCTCAACCCCAAGCCCAAGCCCAACCCAGGCTCAAAACACCCTAACTCTTACCCCCAAACCCGAACCCAACCGCCCTCATTCCAACTCTACCCAAATGCCCTAAGCCAAACATCCTAACTAACCCAAATTCCCTGACGCTAACTCTAACCCTATTCAAATGCCCTAATCCGTCACAAACACCTTCATCCAAACCCTCACAGCCTGACCCTAACGCAAATCCAAATGCCCCAACCCTAACCCAAATGCCTTGACCCTGACCCAAACACAAATGCCCTAAGCCTGATCTCAAACCCCAACCCCAACCCTAACCCAGACTCAAAACACACTAATTCTAAACCCCAAGCCCTAGCCCAAATGCCCTAACCCAAAGGTCCTGGCCCTCACCCAAACGCAAATACCCCAACCCCGACCCCAACTCCAACCCAGACTCCAAGGCCCTAACTCTAACCCCCAAGTCCTAACCCCAAGCCCTAACCCTAGCCTCAATGCCGCACCCCAAACACCCTGACCCACACACAAACGCCCTGACCCTGGCCCTGACTCTAACTCAGAAAACCTCAGCCCTGACCCTAACCCCAGTCCTAGCCCGAACCCAAATGCCTGACCCGTGGCCCTGCCCCTGCCTAGCCTCCCCGACCAGCTTCCATGGCCCTAACCGGCTCCACTCTTGCTCCCCAGAGCTGTGCCAGGCAGTGCTTGCCGGAAACCCCCTGGGAGGGAAGAAGGGAGCGGGGCGGGTGTCTGCCGGCTGCTCCGTGCGGGTGGCCGAGTGCTGGACACCAGGCTCTGTGCGGCCTGGCAGCTCCCCGGCAGAGATGCCCCACCCGGGGCTGGAGGGGCCGGAAGCCATACACGGTGCCAGGGGAACAGACCCATGCCCAGAGCCGGACTGCGTGCCCCTCCCTCCTGGGGACCACTTCCGACCCCGGGTGCCCTGGGTCAGTGCCTGGCTGCTCTGCCCCGTGGAGCAGAGATCGCGCCCAGGTCTCCAGGGCTGGCTGGGGAATGCCCTGCCTTGAGTGCACCACGGCCACACGGACCCTCTGTGTCAAATGCCGCAGCTGGCGGTCCTCACGCAGGCCTGGTGCAGTTGCACAGTCACATGCCTCGTGACTTGACCGGCCTCGCCAAGGCCATCGCGGCTGACAAAGTGCCACGGGAGAGCCGGCTTCGGCTGCCCTGCCCGGCAGATGCCCACCACCCACCCCTCGTGCCACCTCCAGCGCATCCTGCTGGCATCTCCTAGGACCCCCATGGAGGGAAGCCCTCCTCCCCAGAGGCCAGTGCGGAGGCCCCTGGGGCTGGCTCCCTGGAGTCTCCTGGGGCTGGCTTCCTGATGGAGTGCAGCTAGCCTGAGGGTGTCACAGAAGGCTGCACACCCATTGTGCCAGCAGAGCCCCCTGGGTGACAGAGAGCCCTCAGCCCAGCAGCCCGCCAGGCCCCGAGTCCCGCCCACGACCACGGAGCTTGGCCCAAGACGTCCACGGCCTGCCGGCTCCAGGACTGCACCTGGAGACCCTCCTGCACAGTGGCCTTGGTCACGGCAGCTGCGGCTGACAGGTGGGGCTTGGCGGCCGAGCCCTGGGGGTTTGCTGCGTGGCAGCTGGCTCCCGCGGCCAGGCAGAGATGGCAGGGCGTGGCTGGGCACCATCATGGCAGGACAGGCAGGCTGGAGGGGGCTGTCTAGCGGGGCTCCTTGGGCTGGCAGCTGCTGCGGCTGGAGTTTCCTGGGCATAGAACCTTCCTTTTCTCCGCCTGCTTCTAGGCTGGCTCTTCTGCCACCCGGACATCCCAGGCACAGACGCTTCCTGGCCAGGCCCCTTCATGCACCAACAGCCGAGCCAGGAGTCCCAGACGGCACAGGGGTTTTGCCTGGCTGTTGCCGGCCATGTCTCCGCTTCTGGGGTCTGCGACCGGAGGCGCCTGTTCTTGTGAGAAGCTCCCGTGACTGGCCTTCATCCCGTCCGGCCCACCATCACGGCGGCTGGAATCGGGAGGTGCAGGGTGTGTGCAGACCGACCACGGGGGGCCAGGGCCAGTGGAGAGCACAGACGGGGATCCACGTATTCCTGCCCTGCCGCCGACAAGGTGATCGGGACCTGGCCTGGCCTGCTTCAGACCCAGTGGGATGACCGCTGGCGAAACTCGTCCCGGGTCTCACAGACGCCTGACGGCCCAGCGAGGCAGGGCAGGCATAGGGGTGGGGCCCAGGCAGTCTATGCCAGTGCTCACGCGACGCCACGGGGCGCAGTCTGGGTGTTGCCGTTTAGGTGAGATGAACTTAGACCCGCAGACGCTAAGGAAAGTGGGTGACCGTCTGCCCTGGGGGTGGGCTGCACTCAATCAGAGGAACGCCTTAAGAGAACAGACGCGGGCTCCCCGGAGACGAAAGACTCCTCCTCCGACTGTGACTTGAAAATGCCACCGGAGCTTTCCGCCTACCGAGCTCACTCACAGGGCATGGCTCCTGCCCCTCGGTGACCCTCCTGCGCAGACACTGTGGCTCGGCTTCTCCGGGGTCCTGTCACAGGCGGCACCAGGAGACGTCTCAGGCCCCCAGCGGCAAGCCAGGGAGTCGCCGGGTGATGTGTGCCCAGAACCGTGGGGCCTCCGTCTGTGCTGGGCCCTTGGGAGGGCCAGGGCCTCCAGGGGTCCCAAGTGGGAAGGGAAGGAAGCGATGAGGCCGCAGTGCCTGCCGGTGTCGAGCTGCCACGAGCAGAAGCGTAAGCACGAGCCGGTTCAGGGAAGCTTCAGTGATGGCAGACGTGGACGTCAGGGCCTCGGAGGACACACGCGCCAGCCAGGGCCTCGGGGCCCCTGGATGTACTGCCCCGCCAGCCCCGACCCCGCGGAGTCCACCTGGCAGGACCGGTCCAGACTGTGGCCGTGCTCCTGGCTGCACCCGGCGAGTGGCTTCCCTGGGCCGAGTTGAAAGGCCGTTTCTGGCGTCATCTGCATGAGGTCCTCCTGGCTCTGGCCCGACCGCCACACTCTGCAACTGCCCTGAGTGGTCATGCCACGTGTTCACAGGTGTACGCCATCAGCCACCAAGACGGGGACCAGGAGGGAAGGCGGGGACACTGGGGAGGGCTCTCCAGGGACAGCCCTGCCCGCCCCATCACAGTGGGCAGCCACAGGGCATCTCGGCATCCACAGAGCCTGGACGGCACCACCTCCCGCCTCTTCCTCTTGCACTTGGAGAGCCGAGGGTTCCCAGCAGCAGCAGGACCTGCCTTAGCCCGGCCCACCCACAGTCCCCCACTACGCCCACCCCCGCACAGAGCCCTACCAGGCCTGGGGCCGTCCCGTGTCCTCACCAGGCCCCGCCGCCGCGGCTAGCCTTTCTCCTCGGCAGACCCAGCTGGCCTCACGAGTCCCTCTCTCCGCACTCCTTCCCCAGCCCAAGGCCGCCCAGGGCCCACAGCCTCTGAGCGGGGCTGGGCGCCCCCCACTGGCCACGCCTTGTGGTCAGGCGCTCCGCGTTCAGACTCAGAGGCCCAGGCGGGCCTTGCCTGTGGCGGGAGGTGGAGAGTGGGCCCAGGAGGACAAGCACAGTCTGCACCCGGCCGGTGTGAGCGTCCCCATGCCCTGCCCAGCTGGCCGGTATCTAGGGCCCAGAGGCCTTGAGTGGGCCACTTACTCAGGGGACGACTCCGGGGTCAGGTTGGACATCTCCTCCGGCGTGGGAACTGCACGTGGATGGACAGGGGGGAAGGCCTGGTGACCGCTCTGTCCCTCTCCTGCCCTGGCCACTGTGGCCAAAGTCAGGTTTTCGGAAGTCCACCCTCAGCCCTGACACAGCCACCTGAGGGCACAGCCCAGCCACCGGCCATCTCACAGGCCGAGAAGCCTGCAGGCGCCCAGTCACGGGAGCTGTCCCAGCCTCCGGGGCTGACACCGGCCGCCCGGGATCCCTTGACCCCGGGGCCTCCTGCCGGCCGCACCCACCCCACAGGGTGGCCAGGCTCAGGAGCTCAGGGGTGCCATGGAGGGGGCGGCGGGGGGAGGGAGAACCCAGGCCCAGAGGGTGGAGCAGCCCCACTTGGCCTGGGCACTCACCTTGCAGTTTCCGGCGGTGGAAGCGAGGGGAGCCCAGGAAGCTGTTCTTGATGGAGTTGAGCCGGGCCCTCCAGGGCACCCCTCCGACGCTGGGGCTGGACGGCGGCGTGGGGTTGGGCGTGCCCGCCGGGCTCTCCTTTGGCGTGTGGACGGGTGTCCCCTTGGGGGTGGGGAGGGGACTGCCCCTTGGTGAGGGGTGAGGGGTCACCTGTATGGTGGGGACAGACTT